CCATGTGTGTCTATACATGCCTATCATGCATGTATTCTAGAGCTCACTCACTCCTTCCACAAACATATGGTGAGCACCTGCTTCCTGCTGGAATCGTCACTGATCTCCCATAACTGGAAGTCTTCCTAAAATGTAGCAGAAACTTACATCCAGCCTGAGTGACACGGTGAACACAATGGAAGCTGTGCCTGGGGATTCATGGTTGTGAGCAGGCACTCACCCATTCCACGTGACAGAGGGATGGCTTTCGGGGCTGTGCCTTCACTGAGAGGTGTTTCTTTGTTTCACTTTTGTGTGTGTGTTTGGAGTATAACAGGAATAAGGAAAAATTGCCTAAACCAGAAATGTCAAGAACAATGAATTTCTAAAGCAAACTCCCAAGTAACCACTGCCAAGGTCAAGGAATATGGAATATGGTTCCACGGGTGCATCTTCTGCCCCTCCTGAGTAGGTTTCTGCGGCACTCCTGCCATCGTCAGCGTCTGTGTCACAGTCACCTGGTGCTCTGAGCACTGGGACTTTGGCTGGGAAGTTGGCAGAGTGGCATTTGAGGGGGCTTCCTGGAAGAGAGGTTGCTTGAGTCAGGCCTTGAGGTAGAGTGAGGCACTAAGGTGCAAAGGAGGACTTTTGGGGAGCACTCAGATGGGGCCACATGCTGAATCGAGATCCCTCCCCAGGAGTCCCTGCAGCAGCTGCCTGATGGCTGGGGGCACACACACCTCTCGGGTTCAGGTCTAAGGCCATTAGTGGGCTCCAATCCAGGAATGAGACAGCTGTGGAAGGGAGGGCACTGGAGCCTGGGGGAGGGACGGGAGAGGGGAATTCTAGCCCTGGGACTTGGAGGTGTCTCCGTGTTACCCTGGAGACATCCTTCTTGCTATAGATGCTTCCTCCCTCAGAAGAAGGCCACAGCCCTGGAAGGTTGGCCAGGGGCCACCTGCTCACTCCTGCCAAGACCCAGACCCCCTTGGCCACCTCAGCCTGGGATGCAGAGGCCCCCACCAGGGTGTCCCTCGTGCCACCAACTTCCGCCTCTGCCCTGGCCCTGGACAGACCTTTCTCTGCACCAGTGAAGATATAGTTTCAAAAGCTATGACCTGGGAGCTGAGCCCAGAGGTCATAACCACCTCTGGCCCATGGGTGGCGCCCGAGTCAAAGACTTGTCTACTTCCCTTATCTCTGGATTGTCAGGAGGCCTGTGAGTCAGGACTGGAGGGGCCGTTATCCCACTTCAACATTAAGGGAAGGAAGCTGCCAAGATGCTCATCAGGGAGGAGCTTGAGCTGAGGCCTTCTGACTCTGGCCTCTTTTGACCAAGACTTCATAGGGAGCGTTGACTCTCTCTCTGGGGGCAGGAGTCAGTGGGAAATAGAGCTGAGAGCTCCAGATACTGAGGGAAGGTGGGGATCCCTGTGGGAGGGGAGGACAGAGGCTGGGGATAGGCGAGTACTTACTCCTCCCAGCTCTGCAAACACGGCCTGCTGCCTCCAATGATCCCAGGCATTTTCGTGCATGTGTGTGAGGGCAGAGTGTGCTGTGTGAGGGACACATGTAGCTATGGCTGCACAGGAGTGTCTCTGTGTGTGTCACGGGGGTGTGCATATGCGGGTGAACTCAGCCTGGGGTTCCCCATTGCCTGGAGCCAGCAGGGTCATTTCTTGGTCACTCTCTTCACCCCCTGTGGAATCCTGTGGTTAGAGCACGTGTCCATGGCCTGCCACCTAGAATTCCAAGTTCTGATTGTCTTGTGCTCTTTGAGGGTGGTCAGGCAAACCCTTGTGCACCACGTGATTCCAGGGCACCTGCCAAACTTCCTGTCCAGGATGCTCCCAGGTGAATCTCATGCCCCAACCCCAGGACACTCCCAGCTGACTCTCATACCCCAACCCCTGGCCAAGCACCGAGTGTCCACCCTGCCCCTTCTCAGAGCAGGGCTGAATTATCCCAGTGACCAAGAGGACAGGGGATGGGGAGGAAGGTCCTGGCTGCAGGCACTGGCTGGGGGAGAAGCCCCAGGGAGGCAGAGCGTGGCATCACACCATAGGCAGAAGGCTGCAGGGAGGTCTGTCTATGGCATCCAGGGCCCTGGGCTGGGAAAGGCAGGGGGTGTGACGGGGAAGGACCTGTGTGCAGAACCAGCAAGAGAGCAGGGCTGTGTTGAGAGAGGCTAGTGGAGGAGTGCAAAGGGGCCTGGTGCTGGAACAGGGCCCAGGGTCAGGTGGACCAGTCCCCACACAGTCAGCAAGTGTGGCAGTGTTGAATAAGCCCCTCTTCCCTCAGGGTGGCTGACCAGAGATGCAGGGGACTGCCAAGGGACTGTGCTGTGAGAGAGGTACCACAGCTGTTTGCTACTTGGAGTCTGATGTTCTCTCCCACCAGCCAACCGATTTGCCCACCTGGGCTCCTCCCAGTCCCTCTTGGACAGACGCCCATGCTGTGGCTTCTGAGGCGATGGGACACGACTGGCCCTGTTGGGGTCCTGGCACCACAGAGCAGATACTATCTACCTTCCTTGTTTCCTCTGTCTTCCCTCTCCTTCTCTCTCTCTTCTCTTCCATCCATCTCCTTCCAAGGGAAGACAACACTCCATGCAACACTGTGAGCTTTATTGCAGGGAGTGGGAAAGAAGAAGGTGGGTGAATGACAAATGAGTAGACAGTTAACACACAGAAGAGATCGGGAGCACAAACCAATGGTAGTTACACAGGGACTCAGCAGGCTGAATACTGGTTCCTCTGGGCATCCACATCCTAATCCCTGGACCCTGTGACTACGTCCTGTTCTGTCTGAGTGGGCCCGTGTAATCGCAAAGGTCTTCATAAGGAAGCAGGCCAGGTGAAGACAGAGCAGAGAGACATTTGAAGATGCTGGTGGATTTGAATATGGAGGAGGTTCCAGGAGACAAGGAATGCAAGGAATGCATCTCTAGATGCTGGAAAGTCTAAGAGAGGGATTCTCTCCTAGAGGCCTGGAGGTAGGGCAGCCCTGCCAACACCTTGGTTGTGGTCCAGTGAAGCCATTTCAGATTTCTGACTCCAGAATCGTAAGAGAATAAATTTGCATTGTCTTAAGTCACTAAGGCTGCGGTAAATTATTATAGCAGCAAAGGAAACTAATACAGGGACAGACAGGTAGATAGAAAGGGAAAGACAGGCAGACAGGCTGGAGGACAGGCAGGGCATGAGGAGTTAGGTGATGCAGGTGGGTCAGAGACAGACAGACAAACATGTAGGAGGCCTGGAGAAGGACGAGAGAGAGAAGGGCGACAGTCTGATGGGCAGGAGGCAGGAGATCAGGTAGGCTGGCAGGTGGGCAGATAGAAAGCTAGAAGTGGGCAGACAGGCTGGGGACTGGAGAGAGTGACAGGAAGACAGGATGGCTGCAAGGGCCCCTCAGAGCCTGCTTTGTCCCCACAAGTGTTAGAGGATCTTCCTGAGATGCAGGTGGATCCATTCTTGGACTTCAACACAATTCTTGGGAGGGGAGCAGGGACCCTGGAGGGATCTGGGGCCGGCTCAAAGTGGAGCAGTGTCAGGGCCATGGCTACCTTCAGCTTCCCGATGCAGTTCCTGGGCCAGGGAGGGGAAACAAAATGAGAAGTGGCCTCAAACTCGCTTCTGAGCTGGGCAGGCATTGACCACTGGGCCCCGGCCAGGAACAGGGCATTCAGGGGTCTCCTGCATGTGGCCCAGCCCTGATCCCATCCTTACAGGTCACACACCTCTACCCCAAGCCTTGGTTCACACCCTCCCCCTGACCTCTGACAAAGCCTATTTCCCTCCAGGACTAGCTCCTAACTCCTACTTCTGCTCTCAGCAGGCCTGGAATCCTGTTAGGTGAGGGTCAGTGCTCTAAGCCCCAAGTCAAGTCAAGCGAATTACTAAAAAAGTTAATTATTAGTTTCCTCACTCCCACACAAGCAGTTTCTGGTTTCACAATGTGGAGACCAGGTCAGGGCACGGTAGGGGGCAGAGTGGGCCACACTCTCAGACTCTCACCGTCTAGGGGGAAACACAGGGACCCCGATTCTCAGAGAAAGGACAAGATGGAGTTGTGTAAGGAAGTCAGAATGGCAACAGGGAAGCTTCTCGGAGGGGCCACGGGTTAGTGACCCTCAGCCTCCCGTACCATGTGCCTCCTAATTAGTGGTCCGGACTCCGGCCTCCCCCTCATCCCCTCAGTCAACTGTCTTCTGTAGCCTTCCAGTCTAGCCCAGAAATGTCCCTCCTTGCCATCCCTCAGTCTCCTCCCTGGACTTTTCTGTCTCCCTGCCTCCCCTCTGTCTACACTGAAGCCATGGCCCAGCTCAGACCCTCCTGTGCCCTCCATCACAGGAAGGACATGTCCAAATGCCTCAGCTGGCACCAAAGCCCTCTGTGGGTTGTTGCCTCACTCACCTCTTACCTGTCCAGCTCTGCTTCCTAGCTCAGCTCATGTTGGGATCACCGTGAATGCCTCCCTCCACCTCTGCCTGCCAAGTGCTCAAGGGTAAGTCCAATGACAGCCTGCCCTCACCCCCTCTGCTGGCTCTACCTCTTCCTCCCCAGACCACCAAGGCACCATTAGTGATGTACTCAAGGACATATCACCGACCAGTGCCCAGGACAGTGCCAATATGGAACATTCAACTATCTGCTCAATGAGTGAATGAGCGAGTGAAAGAATGAATGAATGAATGATGTGTGTCTTGAGTAGAGGTATTTGTTTCTTGACTGTGAACTCTTGGAGGCAGGGATAGTATCTTTCATCTCCGTGCTCCCATCTCCCAGCACAGGACTTGGCACACAGAGGCAGGCTTAATACATGGTTTTATAATTGAATGAAGTTAATTGAACTGATAAAGAAAATAAACTGAAATGGAATAAATAAAAGCAGACATTAGTTCTGACCTAGGAATTGAGCTACCTAGTACTCTCCCTTCCTCTAGTGGCAGCCACAGCCTGCAGCCAGTGTCTATGAGGAAGGACCCAGTTCTGGGAGAAACCAAATCCTAGAGTCAATTTCTGGAAGAGCAGTTTGATTAAAGCCTGTTCTGTGAAAATTGATTCACCATTTGAAGAATCCACACAATTATGGATTCAGAAAAAGCTTGTTTCTGGTAACTACTTTCAATGTTTGTGGAAGTTACTGCTTCACAGGACGATTTCAGCAGCATTGGAGGATTTTCACAGCAGCCACTCTGGAGGGGATTCGTCCAGCTCAGCAGCTGTCTCATGTGTACTTTGTATTTTACACACCAGGAAGTTTTCAAATGCATGTGTCATACACGGAATAGCGGATTTTCTCTCAAAAGCAGTTGATTGTCCTCATTATGTTATACTTTTGCCAACATTGTACCATGTAGACTCTGGGACTATAGTCATATAAAGAATTTTGCCAACTGGAAAAGTTGTCATAGTTATGTGAATAGTAATATGCAGTCAAATTTTATTGGGATACACTGCGAAAATAGAGAAGACACACATTAGTGTGAAATTTTCTTCCAATGACTACTGTAACCTTCCATGTATATGGCTGAACAGTTAGGACAAGGAAAGGGCTAGAAATCCAGACACATGCAAACATCACTGAGACAGTGGGTGGCGGATGGGAGAATTAAGGAGAACAGGTGCTAGGCTGGACTGCAAATGTGGGACAAGAGAAAAGCAACTGTTTAGATTACTGATAATTGAGAAATACAAACATCTAAATTTTAATTTTCATGAAAATTTCTAATTCTGAAAAGTCATACTCCTAAAGTGGGGAAAACATCAGAATACACTGAACTTTGGAACAGCACTGACACTGAGTCATGGCTGGCCATTTGGAAAGTCAGTGGGTCAAAGTCCCTGTGGCATGCTCTGAAATACCATTTTTCTTTTGTACATAGAGACACATGCCTCCTTCCCCACACACCGACATACAAGTGCATAACTACAGACACCAATATGAATGCAGGAGGTCACAAACGTCGGGTGTGCACCCAGTGACACTCTGCCCTCAAGTACAGAAAATCGCACCTTGGTCCTCCTGAAGAAGGGCAGGAAAGCGTGGCTGTGTTGAGTAGAACTCAGTGCAAACCAGGAAGGATCAAACACCTGCAGAGAGAGCACCAGGGACAGGACAGTGGGGTCAAGCCCCTCCTTCCAATCCACGAGGGAACAGGACGCCCAAGGTGGGAGTGAGAGGAGGTGTTGGTCTGCAGAGATCATCCCATCCCCTCCTCCCACGGCCATCATACCTCTGGGTTCGGCCACACCTTGGGGTTGTGGTGAAGGGCATAAAAGGAGAGCACAATCATGATTCCTGTGGGGCAGGCGGAGAAGAGAGAAGACTGATCATACCCATGGGGTGGGGCCCCCTCCCTCTGCCAGCAGGGGGCATGTGCATGCAGGAAAGTCTTGGGAGCCACTTCCCCTCACTCTGAGTGGAATGATCCTGCTGCAAGAGAGGTGGGGTGGACATGGCAAAGCTCATGTGCACAGATTAGGAGGAGAAAACCATGACCCAAGATTGAGGAGCAAGAAAGAATTGGAGGCTTACTTTTCGGAGCAACTCGAGTGATGACTCACATTTATCAAATGCCATCCATGAGCCCTTGGGGAATATGCATTAACTCATTCAATCCTCACATCAACCCTCAAAGAATGTTTCCCATATCCCCATTGTTCAGATGAGGCACTGGAGCCTCAGAGACTGAGTGACTTGCCTATGATCACACAGCTAGGACGTGGCAGGGCTGGAATTCAAACTCAGTGGGAGTTTAGGCAAGAGGTCCCTCCAGCCATGGCAGGGGTCTCAGATCTGGTCATCAGCTGCTCTCTGCCATCAGCCTGAGGGGTCCTCAGAGACCGGGCCATCTGATCCATGACAGTTGGTTTTCTGATCTCTCTCATTTTCCTAGACCCCATGAGGAAAGCAGCATATCTCCTCCTACCCCTGTCTGACTGTCTCTCCAGCCCTCACACCTCAGAGAATTAGAATTTTAGGGCTAATTCCTAAGCCCAAATTCAGAGGCTAGTACTTGTTTATTTACCTTTCCCTGGGTTCAAGGTCTGTGCTAAGCATTTCATACACCTCATCCTAACTACAAAGTAAGTATTGATTTTCTTGAGAGGAAAAAGAGACCCAGAGAGGTTTGGAACTGCTCTAGGACACAGATATTTCTGATCTTCGTTGTGTTCTTGCAGAGTGCTCAGGTTAGCGAGTGTGATGAAGTTCAGATCTCCAGGTAAGAAGTGTACGTCAGGGAAGGTGATGGGCTTGCTGAGCTCTCTGCCGACGCCTGGTACTGGTGGGTAGAGTCGCAGTGCCTCCTTGATGCACATGGTGGTGTAGGGCATCTGGTCCAGGTGGTCCCTGAAACCGAAGCCCATCCTGAAGTGCGGGCATGGTCTGGGAGACCAGGGGCTTCTCTAGCTGAGTGGGCAGGGCTCTCCCATCTCTAGAGCACTCACCAGGTGATGGAAGCGCCATCCTCCAGGAGCCTCTGGATCTCCTCCCGGCACCTCTGCTGATGCTCAGGGTGTGCGGCCAGAGCATAGAGGATCCAGGAGATGCCACTGGCTGTGGTGTCGTGGCCCTCGAACATGAACGTGTCCACCTCTGCACGGAGGTCCTCGTCAGACAAGCTGCTCCCATTCTCCATCTGGGAAAGGCACAGCGAGAGTGCAGGGTTTGCCCCTTCTTCTGAGCTTCTGGCTAAGCCTCAGGCCTCTCCTACACACACTCACTTTGGCAAAGAGGAGGATGTCCAGGAAATCCAAGTGCCTCTTCTTCCTGACCTTCTCCAGCTCTCCCTCCTTCTGTAGGTGAGCCTTCCTCAGCTTGATCACTTGGTCTGTCCCAGAACAGTGGTTCCCAGGCAGAGCTGAGATCTCTGGGTGCTCACATACAGCAATTCACAGTAGCCCCATCTGCCCCCTGCCCCCATCTGGGTGCCCGGTGGGTCAGGATGGGTGTGGGGGTGGGTGTGCACATCAGGGGTGAGAGTTCTTGCACCCTCTGATTTCAGGTCAAAAATACCCTCAGTAGCACAGCCCTGGAAGCCCTGCTTGATTGCTGCTGAGCAGGGGTCTCACTTAATCATCACCCAAGTGTTTGCACAGTGCCTGGCACCCTAACATCATCAGCTCAGTTCCCAACCCTTGTACCAGGGAAGTACCCAGCATAAGTATGTCCCAGATCCTGAAGAGGAACCTGGGGGCTTGGCTCTACCTGAAGGGTCAGGGCCAGTCCCTTTGAGACATGTCTGATAAAGGAGGGGAGCAGCCCATGGAGAAGGAGCCAAAACCTGTGTGTTGATGGGTGAGCTGGCAGGCCCGGTGCTTCCAGCGGCCATCAGGGGTCAGCCTGTAGATGATGTAATTCTGGTAGGAGGCATTCCTCACGTGGAAAAAAAGAGTTTTCAGGTCCCCAATGGCCTGGATGTAGGATTGGGAGTTCCTAAAAGGAGAAGATGCAGAAGAAACTGGAGTGGAGGGAGGCCTCTGACCTGGGGGTGGAGTGGGGTTCTTGATGGAGGTTTCCTCAATCAGTGGGGACAGGACACTGAGGCATTGGTCATTGTTGTCTTATAGCCCTTGAGACCCTCAGTTCCTCGTTATAAATGGTGTGGGCAGTCAGGCTTCTGCCTGTGCCAGGGACCAGGGATCTGTGGCCTAGTCAAGGTTTGGTCTGGTTGGAATTTGAACTTGGTCTGGAACTATCACCAGAATCTTGCTTTGTGTAGAAGTGAACATCTAAGTTGTCCCACTAGCCACTTAGGTAAGTCCACACCAGTGGGTAAGAAATAAGACTCTGCAGCTGAAGGGTTATCACTGACCTGTCTGTCTGGACGCTGTTCTGGTGGCTGAAGGCGCACTTCATGATGGGGTCCAGGGTCATCAAGGAGACGTATCCAAAGATCTCCAGATGTGAGTCCTGGCTGATGATCTCCTCCCATTTGTCCTGTCGTGTGTTGGGGTCATTGATCCTACTCTGTTCCTCTGATGACAAGGCCATGCTCTCTCTTAGTATCTCCAGATATCCTGGTAGGAGTCACTCACTTTCCAAAACAGATGCATTATAGCAAATTAAGACTGTAAAGCAAATGTTTGTAAAGTGAGGCCTAGTTTCTCAGAAAGCTTTATTATATAATAAAGTATGTTCTGTCATAATAGTCTCAGTTAGTTTTTAATTTTAAGAACAAGTTACAATGATAACCACTTTTGGCAGAACAGAAAACATTGTCTTTAAGGAGACAAAGGGGAAAACTTCTCTGTCATGTGGCTGAGCTAGACCTGAGGTACAGGTGAAGTCCAATTTTAGGGAGCAAATGTGTTAAGGCAAGAAAAATCCTAAGGGGTCAGTACTGGGGCTCCTAAGGAAGGGACATCAGGGATGTCAATTCCTTTCATTCATCAAATGTTATCTGAGCAGAGTTGGTGAGAAATCAGAGTCTTGATCAGAGGTGAGGTTGTGGCAGGTCCCGGCTCTGAGAGTGTAAACCTGGTCTCCATTTCCCTCCGTGGAGTAGCTCAAATTCATGCAGAAGCCCTGGGCCTCAGGGCAGAGCCCACCTGAGTCACATCCTGGTGTGTCCACCCTGCCACTGAAGGCGCCACTGCTCAGGTTAGCCAGGGTCAGCTCGTCCTGCTGTGCAAGGGAATGACTCATGCTCTAGTCCACCAAGATGAATTCATGGAGGTATGAAGAGAGCAGACCCTGTAACCACCATGGCCCTTCTTTCCCTTGGTGATGAGCAAAGTGTGGATCCAGGCTGGTACCTGGATACCATCCTATCCAATCCACTTTTGGAGGGCCCTGTCTCATAATGGTATTCTGGGTGCCTATGTTTGATAGATGTCTGGGGGACACATGTGTCTGGAGTAGACTCTGTGAGTTGTGCTGTGGGTAAGTGTGTGCAGGTGAGGGAGGGATGATGGACTTACCAGCATCACTCGGACTGAGTCGGTCATGAGCGCCATGTAGGGCTTCAGGATGTCATAGTGGAAGGCTGGAGTTAGCATCCACTAGTGCCGGAACCACATCTGCCCATTCAACAGGAGCAAACCATACCCTAGACCAGAGATGAGTGTGTGTGGGAGTGGGAAACAGGATCAGAGTGACGACTGGGGACAACTCGGGAGGAACTAAGGGTGTCAGAAGAAGGCCCATCATGGGCAAAGACAGGAAAGGCTAGTACATTTCAGAAATGAGAATTTCCCCAAATGGCTGGCACATAGGAAGTCATTATGACAGCTGTGAGATAAAGGTTGAAAAAGAGTAGGGGGCAGGTCATAGAAGGAATTCAATAAAAGTCAGGCTGAGATCATGGCGAGGACTGAGAAGCGATGTGGAAGAAGCTGAGCTTCAGCAGCGCTTTCACCATCATTAGGATAGGGGAGGGTCTTGTTACAAGAAGAGAAACGAGGCTTGATCCAGAGATGAGGGTGATGACATAGTGGCCAGACACCTCTTGTTCTCTGTAAGCCCAATAGATAGCACTTGGCAAACTGAGCTGGTGGGTGGACCAGAGTCCTAGTTAGATGTACTTACCAGGGAGCCAGGAATCTGTAGGGCCTGTGAGACTTTGGGTCTGAGAGGTAAGGAAGGACATTACAGGAAGCTGGAGGGGACCATACAAGGCCAGCAGCTCTCAGGAGGCAGCTGTGGTCCAGACCATGGGCTGCCATCCCTTCCTGATGATTGTCAGCTGCCGGTTTGTCTCAAGCCACCTCCCACTTGCCTCCTCTCCCTGACTCTCTCTGTCCTGATAGTTACTGTTGTCTCAGCAGCAGGACACCCACAGGACTAGGAAGGTGAATCTCCAAGAAACACTAGCTCTGTCCTCAGTGCCAAAGAAAATACAGAAGACTGGTTTTCTTACGATTGGTGGTGGCTTAGCCATCCCATGAGCCAGGACAGGGAACAATGAGAGGTGCCAAACACAAGTCAGTGGGCAAGGGAAATTGTCTTTCATTCTGGGGCAATTTACACAACAGATCATCTTCATTTGGTTAAAAAGGAAAGAAACAAAGAAAAGAAATAAGAAATTCAGCCCCACACAGCTCCTTAAGCCTTCAGTTTAAGTAAACAGTGTTGACATTAGGCTGGCTTGTGTGCTGGGAGGATGGTTGGAAGAGGGTTTAAGTATTGATGGCTGAACTGCCAGTCTCTTGTGGAATTTCACAGACCCAGGGGCATGTACCCAAGAGGGAAGAGCTGCTCCAGCTGGGATGTGAGTTTTACTCTCATCTGATCTCCACAGGATCACCTTCATGTAGTCAGGGTCATAGACAATGAAGAGAACCTCACTTCCCCACAGCCAGCAAGGATAGGCACACGGGAATTTCTCTACCCTGTTCAGAAGCTCTACCCTTTCCAGAAGCTCCTTTTGTAAATGCTACCAAGGGAAAGACAAATCAATAAAACCTTTGTCTTTAGGTCCAGTGCTTTGGGTGGTGGTGAAGGGCAGGATGGCCACAGGCAGAAAGTTCTGGATGTATCAGCAGTGATTAGGAGTTTGGAACCATTTCTGATGAGCTGGGCTCTGATCTAATTTCTTGCTGCCTCACCGAGACTTAGCCTAAGGCTAAGGCTAGCTTCTGGTTGGGCCGTGTGTGGGCCCTCACTCAGAACTGCCTTCAGAATCTTACCCATAGGAGGTGCTTGATAAATGTCCAGTAATGGTCTCCACGGTGTACAAAACTTTTCTCAGACTTATTATATGAGAGTTATTGGTTGAATTGTGTGCCCCTCAAATTCATACATTGAAGTCCTAACTGCCAGCATCTCAGAATGTGACTTTATTTGGAGATAGGGTCTTTACAGGGTAATCAAGTTAAAGTGAGGTCATTAGGGTCGACCTTTATACAATATGACCAGTGTCTTTACAAAAAGGGGGAAATATGGACACAGAGACAAACACTCATTGAGAGAAGATGATGTGAAGAGACATATGGATAAGATAGTGATTGATTAGCCAAGGTGAGAGTGTGCACCAGGCACTTCCCTCACAGCCTGCAGAAGAAACCAACCCTACTAATTCCTTGATTGTGAACTTCTAGTCTCCAGAACTGTAAGCCACTACATTTCTGTTGTTTTAGCCACCTAGTTTGTGGTACTTTGTTAACGGCAGCCCTAGAAAACTCGCCCAATTATGTAATCCTCAAGGCAAACCTGTGTGAGGGATGGATTATTACTTGATCCCATGTCACTGAAGACTGAGGAAATTCATGTTGAAGGATATGCCCAAGTGAGCTGCATTTCAACTAAAGTCTGCTTATCCCAAGTTATCTTTTCCTGAGGTTCTCAAGGCTCCCTGGGTGTCTCTGTTATCGTATTTCAATTCAATGTTCTCACCTCTGAGCACTGTGTTGGAAAACTTACCTTTCATATCTCTGATCTCTGTGTTCTTAGAGCTAGCACAGAGCATGGCTCATAGGAATTATGCCTTAATTTTCAAAGAAGGAATAACTGCATGAAGGAATGAATGAGTACATGTAGGACAGTGAATGAGTGAGGCTTGATTGAAATTCTTGTTGCAAATGGCAGATATAATCTTGAGCTAATGTAAGACAAAGAGAAAGGACAACAAAGAAGGCTGAAGACCCAGGAGGGGTCTTATGGAACCCAAGGGCAGGGGACAGCCAGGGTGTGGAAAGGACAGAACCAGGGACGGGAGAGCTTCCAGGATTGGGTCTCTCATTCTTTCTCTCTGTACGTGCATGCATTCATTCTCTCAACAAATGTTTATGGAGGCTCTACCTTGTCCCAGAGACTTTACTAGAAGCTAGCAATACGGTCACGAATAAACAGAAAACAGTCCCTGTCCTCGTGGAGCTGGGTCCCCATGGTGGAGAAGGGCAATTCTTTCTTTCTGGTGTTGGGACGTAACCATACTACATGAAATGTCTGAGTGGCACTGTGAATCCTATTCTGAGAATCTGATTGTAATATCATGGCCAAGGTGTCCACCAGCTACAATCAACCATGGCTGGGGTTGAATAGGACTTTCAGGGGCCCACCCTTTGTGAGGGAAGAGATCTCAGAGCAGAGGAGCTGAGCAGACATCTCAAAATGTTTCCACCGCAGTGAAGGAGCAAATATATGAATGAGTAGATAAGCAGATGGATTCACTCATTCATTTGATACCTGTGTATTGAGTACTTACTTTGGGTCTATTGCCATCCTCATTGCTGGAGATTCAGCAGTTAACACACAAGCCCCTGCTTCCACGGAGCTTATGTTCTAGTGGGGGTGGGGGCGGAGCAGACAATCCTGCCCTTAATTGAGAAGTGTCCTGCTTGATTGAATTACCTCAGAAGGCCTCTCTGTTCTCCCAGGTCATGTCCAGCACTGGGGCTGCCCTTCTCCCTTGATCCAGTTCAGGGACTGACCAGTGCGAGCTTCTTACCGCCCCAGCTATGTTACCTGGTCCTCTAGGATCCCCTCCTATTGGCCCAGTGGAGGCCTGGGGACCCTGTTTCAGCACAGTAGTATGCCTCCTTTCTGATTGCTTGGTGCCCAAGCCAGTCAGCTTCCTGAAAACCCTGCTCCTGGGCACTGTCATTAGTCCCCTTCGGGTACCCCAAGGAGCTAAACTGTGTTCTGCCTGTCCGTTCTCCTCTCTGGGCCATTCTGGTGCCCACTGGTCTGTCAGCCCTTCAGTCAACCGGCTGGGGCTGCCGTCTGTCCCTCAGCAGGTCTGGCCAGAGCCAGTTGAGACTCTTGTAGAGGAGATGGTGCCCATGGTGGCAGTGGTGGCAACCCTATAGGCAAATACCCAGTGCCCATCTGGGCTCCAGGCAGTGGGGCCACTCAGGGCAGGCAGTGCTCCCCTGGAGCTGTGCTCACCTGGCTGCTCCTGGGAACTGCAGCCACAAAGGAATTTTCCCAATGGGAGACACAAGGAGAGTAGGTAGACGGAAATAATGGGGCCGCAGAGGCCATCGCCAGATGTGTGGGCTCTGCTGACATGGCAGCTACGCCTGCGATAGGAGGGACGACACAGGGAAAGATGGGGCTGTTTGGGTTATTTGGATCCCAAAGTTGTGAGTCCCTTTTTCATAGATCCTGCTGGATTTCACCTCTATTTAATGCAGTGAGTTTGTTAAGCCTACAAAATGCTCATCCTTCACAGGCGTTAATATTATTTTAAATCATACAAATTAGAGTGAGTGTAACTGTGACCCTTGTCTGTGCCAGTCCCCATTCTAAGATTATAATAACTCACTTGAGTACTATCAGCATCATCGTCATTCTCAATTTAGAGATGAGGAAACCGAGGTGTAGAGCGGGTATTCAAAGTATGTGGCAGAGCTGGGATGTGAATCTGGGTATCTTGGCAACAGAACCCATATGCTGACTTGCCGCACCTTGTCACTTGTCATCTGGCCTGAAAGATTAGCTTCAACCAAATTGCATGTCGCATTCTAATTCCTGACTCAGCCAATAACAGAGGTATTCAATAAATGAAAATCTCAGGCGGTATTATAAGAGCAAGAAAAATTTGACTGCAGTATCTGTCAGGCCAGCAGAAGGTGAGAGGTGATTCAGCACCAGGAATAATGTTAGTTCTGTAAATGGAAATGATGTACTTACTGGGTCTACCTCTCATCTAATGACCACCCGTGTCATGAGAGTCACTAGAGGAATTTTTAGTGGTTCCTTATATCAAATCCTAGCTCAGAAAGGTGACAACTGCATCAAACAAAAGGTCACAATTTCTCCAAATCAGGAAATAATCTGGAGTCATCAGTACAACAATTTGCAGGAACAGACTGGGCCTTGGCTGTCTCTCTGCGGCTGGGATAACAGTTCCCGTCTTGGCTCCCCTCTGCTGACAATCGCTTGGCCTCCTTCTCCGAGAAGAGAGAAGCCTCAGCTCTCTGCAACACCCCACCTCCTGGGCTTGTTCAGTCCACAAAGCCCTGGTGAGCCCCTCTCCACGTGGCCCCTCACCTTACTCTTGGCCCTCCCCTCAGGGACCAGTGCTAACAGAGCTGGCTGGGGAGGCATCGTCTCTTACCCAACCTGCAGGCTCCTTTCTCTGTCTCTCCACACACCTGAGTCAAGCATCCCTATGTGTCAGGCTCTGTGCTGGGTACTGGGGCACAGGAAGAGGGATGACATCCTCCACCCCAAGGACTGCACAGTACTGGGGTTTGGGGAATGAGAGCTGGGAGGCAAACATTCTGTTCACTGGTGCAACTCGAATGTCAGTACTCCTTACCTGGGGCCATCTGGACACCTACCCGCTCATGTGTGCCGGCGACTTGTCAGGGTTTTGGCAATGAAATCACCAGTCTGGAAAATCCCTCAGTCTTGAGCACATAGAGCTCCTTGGCCCCCTACACCTGACATCACCCCCCAGCCCAGCAGGTGAGCCTCTTTTCCTGTGACTGGACACCTTCTTAGATTCATATCTATCGTCTCCACAGACTGAACTGCACAGGGCAGGGATCCATAGCCTGATGTCTGTGTTCCCAGGCAAGCTCAGGGTCAGGCAGAGAGGATGTGGTTGAGTGACTGGGGCAAGGAAGCATCTAGAAGACTATTCTGTGACAACATCTGGGGCTGCTCATCCTGCAAAGCGGGGAGATTCAGAAAGGAACAGTCATTGTCCTAAAGTACAGGGCTGCCAGGTCAGCCTGCAGGTCTACCTAAGGAGGGAGTGTCTGACCGACCTGAGAACACCAGCACAGGCTTCCTGAGAGGGAGTGAGCTCCCTGGACTGGGATGAGGATCAGAGCCCTAAGAAGTAAATTAGATTTTCCCAGGGACCACGTGCTCATCACACGATAAGGCTTTGTCAGACGGATTTGCTGACCATGATCCGGTGAGCCCTGGCCCACCCTTCTGTCCCACTTCCCCACCCTGCTCCTTCCTGCCTCCTGACTGTGCCCGTAAAGCCAGTGGGAAGGAGGGCACGGGAACTCCTGGATGGCTTTGAGCAGCCACTGCCTGTGCAGGTAGAGCTGGGCTGCCTTGAGCAGCAGCAGAACCAGGCCGAGCAGGGAGGCCACTTGCAGGAGCCCAGAGATACCACCCAGGTGTCTGGTGGGGCTCAGCACAGAGACACTCATGGTGCAGAGGCTTCTGGAGCGCTGACTTCCCTGACTGTTGTGGACCTCCCCTGAGCACCCAGCCCAAGTCAGTCAGGAGAGAATTGTCCCACCCACCTGTGTGGAGGGCAAAGGGTGAGGGCAGAACTTAGACCTGGGCCACCAGCGTTGATTAACTGTGGAAGATCCACATTGTGAAACAGTGAGAGAAAAGCTTTCTCAGCTGACAGTGATAATGGCCCTGTACACATCAACCTTCCACTCATCCATTTCCTAACCAAACACTTAATAAGCACCTCCTATGTCCCAGGCAGATGCTAGGTGCTGGGACACAGCTGCAAGCACAACAGATATGAACCCTGGCTTAGAGGAATCCACAGTCTGGTTTACAAATGTTCAGTAGGTGTGGTTGGTTTATTCATGATCCTCATTTCGGAGATGAAAACTAGTTACAGAGAGGTAAAGTGATGTGGCAGCAGTAAAACAGTCAGGGGTAGTCCCAGCTGGGATTAGAATACTTCTCTGTTGGACTCTGAAATGGCCTGTCTCAGCTGACTCTGCAGTATTCCATGGGGTTTGTTCCAGTCCACTGTCCATTTGTGACCCGGGGTGACAGTGCTGGTGGATAGAGCACTGGCCTTGAACTCAGGAGGCTCAGCCCCAGATTAGGCTCACTACATGGAAGCCAACAACTTAAACTCTCTGAGCCTCAGTTTCTCCTTTTGTAAGGGGCATAATAACCCCATTCCTAAGTACATGCTAGGAATCCTCATTTGTTCAGTCATTCATTCACTCAGCAAATATTTCTTGAGCACACAGCCTAGGTCAAGGCAAAAAACTAACTTAGAACAATGAAGTATGCAAGGCCTATACTGGAGGAATGAATAGTGAACTGGTTCTGCCCAGGGAAGGAGAAAACTAAAAAAAGGGAATGGGGTCTTGAAGGATGTATAGGAGATCATTAGATGGAGAGTGCTAGAGAGAGAGATGAGCACTGAAAAAGTCATGCAGATCATATATAAAGGAGCAAGACATGGGGACAAGTTAATCTTCAAGTCTCTCATCCTCAAGTTTTTTCATGATTATCTCCTTCAAGTTCATATCCAAGGCCCATAATTCAAAAAGTAAAACACAATGTATTTCAGGAAGAATTCCTTGAAGGCAGCCTTCCTAGGGGCCACTCCTGACCTGCTCCTTCAACCATCTAACCTCTTACTCCCAACACTCTATTCCATTTCCCTACCTTGTGACAGGTGATTAATCACACAATCCATGAGGCCAGGGTTCTTTTCTTTCTCACCAAAATCATGGGCTCCTGTCCAAACCCCAAGGCATGTAACCACTTACCTTTATTCCTGCCAACCGTCCGCTAGCTCTGTGGTTACATTCCGTCTCCCTCAATTCCCAATCCAAGGACTCTTGGACCCTGACTCTTTCCCTGACTTGACTCAGTGCCAGGTTTTCACCCACAGCACGTGGAGCAGTAGTGGAGAGAGTTTTGGAGTCAGTGAGCCTGGCTCTGAATTCTGGCTGAATTCTTGAATTCTTTCTTGCCCTCCCCGAGTCCTCAGTTTCTTCTGTATGGTTGAGCTCAAAATGCTGGTAATAGCTAACATTTGGAGAGCACTTGCTATGTTCTAGGTACTGAGCAAAGAACTTTAAATGTTTTCTCCCACAACAACCCTACACAACATATTTTTTTAAAATCCCCAATTCCAGTTGAGGAAATTGAGGCACAAAGAGGTTCCCTGCTTGCCGAGGGTCACCCTGTTGGTAAGAGGTGGAGCCAGGATTCAAACCCAGGCAGTCTGGCTCCAGAGACTCTGCTGTTGACCAGTAATGTAAAGAGATGATTGTTGGGTTGAGCCTCCAGTCCATACATGGTGGTCCCCGAACTTTCCAGGGGGCATCTCATGTTTGCTCTGTTTTACCCAGTGTTTCCAAGCAGCAGGAGAGTGTTTCAGGTTATCAGCTCCACGTATTGGCCTCAATGCAGCCTCCCTATCCAGGGCTGTTGTGAGAAAGTGTTGGGTAAACCGTGCGGCTAGATGTAGCCATCATTGAAGATGATGTTTATGGGGGATTTTTAATGATATGAGAAAAGCTTATAACAAAGTGATCAAAGCAGAACGTACAACTGTCTGTAGAGTATGAGCTGAACTCTGAGAAAGTTGTGCTGCCATGGTCAACAGTTATCAACCAGTAAATATATTTCCCATCCATTTCTATCCACATACCCCAACCAAGGACTCCTTGAAGGTGGTAACTAGGCCTTCTACGTCCTTATGCTCCCACAGCGTGGAACACAGGACTGTGCCTGCTGATGGTGCCAATAAATACTACTGATGTGACGACTGAAGGAAGGAGAGAATGAGTAAAAGTTTGGACTGGGTAGATCACCATCTTGAACAGACCAGGTTCAGTTTTGGTGCCACATTTTAAAAGAAAATTCATATTTTTATTCCTGGATGTTTCCTAGTTCAGTTTATAGGCAACAGAAAGGCAGAGGAGGGGGCAGTCAATCCCCAAGGCGGCAGCTTGAAGTGAGTACTCCTGTGGGTAGATCACCCACGCACTCCCTGTTTTCTGGGTTTCGGGTAAAGTTGGGTTTGATGCTGATGCAATTTATCACATTGTGTTTACTTTTACTCCTCTACAAGGACTGCATCTCTCAAGTAGAAGTCCCTTTTTTTAAAAAACAAAATAAAGAGCCTTATTGAGATATAGTTTATATACCATACAATTCACTCATTTACCATCAATGTTTTTGATATATTACATTCTTATTTTGTTTTAATTAGTATCATATATGTAACATAAAATTTTCCGCATTAACCATTTTTAAGTATACAATCCAGTGGCATTAATTACATTGACTTTTGTACAGCTATCAGCACTACTTATTTCCAAAATGTTTGCATCACTGCAAACAGAAACTCAGTAACCATTAAGCATTAACTTCCCATTCTGCCTTCCCACAGCCCCTGGTAATCTCTAATCTACTTTTTATCTCTACGAATTTGCATATTGTAAATTCCACATGTAAGTGTAATTGTACAATATTTTTCCTTTGATGTCTGGCTTCTTTCACTTAGCACAATGTTTTCAAGTTTCATTCATGTTGTAGCATGTATCAGAACTTCATTCCTTTTTATTACTGAATAATATGTCATGGTGGGTATATACCACATTTTGTGTATCCATTCATCTATTGATGGTCACTTGGGTTCTTTCTACCTTTTGTCTATTGTGAGCATGTTGCAATGAACATTGCCCTACAACTCTCTGTTTGAGTCCTTGCTTTGAATCCCTTTGGGTGTGTACCTAGGAGTAGAATTTCTGGATCAGGTGATCATTCTATGTTTAGCTTTTTAAGAAACTGCCAAACTGTTTTCCATAGGGGCCGCACCATTTCACATTCACCAGTAATGCAGAAGAGTCCCAATTTCTTCACATTCCATCCAATATTTGTTATTTTCCATTTTTTTTGTTTAAAAAATAATTATTGCCATCCTAAAGGATGTGAGGTGGTATCTCATTGTGGTTTTAATTTACATTTCCCTAATGACTAATGATGTTGAGCATCTTTTCATGTGCTTTTTGCTATTTGCGTTTCTTCTTTGGAGATGTGTCTATTGATGTCCCTTGCCCATTTGTGAATGGGTGTTGATTTTTTGTTGTTGAATTGTAGGAGTACTTTTTTATTCTAATATGATTTGCAAAGATTTTCTCCCATTCTGTGGGCCGTCTTTTAGCTCTCTGATCTATTTTGTGTTACTTTTTGTACATGGTGTAAGGTAAGGGTCTAGCTTCATTCTTCTGCATGTGACTATCCAGTTTTCCCAGCATCGTTTGTAGAAAAGACTGTCTTTTCCTCATTGAATTGTCTTGGCCCTCTGTTAAATATCAATTGAGCATGTATGTGACGGTTTATTTCAGGGTTCTCTATTTTTCCTTTTTTCTATATGTCTACCCTTATGACAGTATCACAGTGGTTTGATTACTGTAGTTTTGTAGTAAGTTTTGAAATCAGGAAGTATGAGTTCTCCAACTTTGTTCTTCTTTTTCAAGTTAGTTTTGGCTCTTTTGAATCCCTTGTGATTGCATATAAATATTTGGATAGATTTTTCTCTTTCTGTAAAAAACATCATTGGAGTTTTGATAGGGATTGTACTGAATCTGTTGATCACTTTCAGTAGTTGTCATCTTAATGATATTGAGTGCTTCAATCCATTAACATAAGCTGTTTTTCCATTTATTTGTGTTTTCTTTAATGTCATTCAGCATGTTTTATAGTTTTCAGTGTTACAAATCTTTCACCTCTTTAGTTAAATTTATTCCTACATATTTTATTTTTTTCAACGCTATTATACGTGAATTTTTAAAAATTTTCCTTTCAGATTGTCCATTGCAAGTATATAGAAATAAGACTGATTTTGTGTGTTGGTTTTATATCCTGCGATTTTGCTGAATTTTTTTATTAGCTGAAAAATTTGTTGATTCTTTAGGGTTTTCTACATATATGATCATATCATCTGTGAACACAGATAATTTTACTCCTTCCTTTCCAATTTGGTTACTTTGTTTCTTTTTCTTGCCTCATTGCTCTGGCTACAACTTCCAGGACTATGTTGAACAGAAGTGGTGAAAGCAGACATTCTTGTTTTTCCTGATCTCTGCAGAAAAGCTTTCAATCTTTCACCATTGAGTATATTGTTAATCGTGGGTTCTTCATAAAAAGCCTTTATCATTTTAAGGAAGTTCCCTTCTATTTCTAGGTTATTGAGTGTTTTTATCACGAAAGGGTGTTGAATTTTGTAAAATACTTTCCCTGCATCAGTTGAGATGATCATGTGATTTTTTCCCCTTCATTCTATTATTGTGATGTATTACATTTATTGAATTTTGTATCTTGAACCACACTTGCATTCTATGAATAAATCCCACTTGGTTAAGGTGTATAATCCTCTTCATATGCTGCTGAATTTGGTTGGCTAGTATTTTGTTAAGGAATTTTGCAT